GGAGAGGGGCCGTCCCCTGCACCAAACTGTGGCCGCAGAGGACACACTGCGGGTCGGTGTTGGGGAGGGTCCCCAGGGAGTCGAGGCAGTAGGCAGAGCACTGGTCGACCATCTCAGCAAAGTAAGCACCCGACTCACCCAGAGCTCCCTGTTGGTCAGCTGTGTATAGAGGTTGTTTTCCCAGAGTTTTCTCCTGATTCTCAGCATAAGGCGCTAGTAGATTCAGGCGCAGCTGGGAATTTCATTGATCATCAGTATTCACTTAGTTTAGGGATTCCCACTGTTCGTGTTGATGTGCCCTTCTCTGTACATGCATTAGATAGTCGCCCGTCAGGGTCAGGCCTAATCAGGGAGGGTTACAGCACCACTCTTAATGAAGACGCAGGGGGGTCATGAGGAGAGGATTAGTCTCTATCTGATTGATTCTCCTGCGTATCTTGTGGTGTTGGGACTTCCCTGGTTAACCACTCATGACCCCACTATTTCCTGGCAACAGAGGGCTCTCAAGGGATGGTCCAGTCAGTGCTCAGGGAGGTGTGTAGGGGTTGCCTTAGGGGCTACTACGGTGGAGAGTCCAAACCAGGTCTCCACAACGCACATTCCTTCCGAGTATGCCGATTTGGCTCTCGCCTTCAGTAAAAAGAGGGTGACTAAATTACCACCCCATCGTCCGGGGGATTGTGCGATAAATCTCCAGGTAGGCGCTGCACTTCCCCGGAGTCACAGGAGGAGAAGGCGGCTATGGAAACATATCTCAGAATCTCTGTGACAGGGATACATTCGGCGCATGTGGCCAATAAAATTTGATTGGATTTGATTTGAATGGCACACATACACAATCCTTGTCTGAATTGTTTCCAGGCTTAAACATCCTTCTATAACATGTCTCCTCCCCTTCATCTACACTGAAGTGGATTTAACAAGTGCCATCAATAAGGGATCCTAGCTTTCACCTGGTCAGTCTGTCAGGGAAAGAGAATGTTTTGTACACGCTGTTTTAAGAACAATCTGAATTTCTATTCGAAGATAGAATCAAGTTCTATTGTGTGATATTCCATTTTAGACTTAATACTCAATATTTCGGTCTGCCCTGTAATTGAATTTACTGTAGAATCAAAGCTGAGGTTTTTGGCTTGTCACACCATAGATTGTGCAGAGATATATTTGCTGTCACAGCGCGGACTGTGAAGAGACACACACACACACAGGCACACACACAGCATTCACAAACACATGCTAACACACGCACTCTACACACACACATTTTAATATTGTTATTTTGCTGTATTATTGATTTTGTATTGTAAATATGTTGTGGTAGAGTAGTGTGTAACACAGTGTTGTGTTATGTATTGTTTTATTGTATGTAAATTGTGGTTGGACCCCAGGAAGAGTAGCTGCTGCCTTGGCAGCCGCTAATGGGGATCCGTAATAAATCCAAATACAAAATACAAATACCTACTTACAGACCTATGTGCGATGTAATAGATGAATGATATAATATTCCTAATTTAATCATTTTCTCGTTTTTATTGTATTTTCAAAAAAGCAATACTTCATCAAGAAATGAACATCCTCCTAGCTGACTTAGAAGACCCTGCGTGTGCAAATCCTGCTGTGCCTGGTGCATCACACAGTTGGAGTGTGAGGAAGGAACTCTCACATGATAGGTGGAGGGAGTCCAGGCCTGAGATCGTAGATTCTCTGCTGACTGCAGAGCATGCTTCTCAGAAGATCTGTCAGCCATGCAATGTGAAAAGGGCTATTTTGCGATGTAGAGACTGTCTGCCGAAACAGCTTTACTGCGAAGACTGCGATGACTACACATGCAAAGTTCCCCTTGCACAACAGAGAGTCCATGATCGAGGGATTCTACACGCCCCTTCCTCCAACCACAGCCATATCTCTCCACAGTGATGGCAAATATGCACTTCATGAAATTTTTTTGCGGCTGAATGTATTATATCTAAGTTAAATGTATTCTTGTTTATTGTTGTATAAAATATTGTCCTTAGATTGTTTCTTACCATTGGACGTACCAGAGGTGATATGTGGTTGCCTGACAAGCACCATCCATGTTGGCCCTGGGAAACATATCATCCTCGTAGGAATAAATGGTATGTGCAATATCTACAAGAACCAAACAGTGATGTAGCAATGCAATGTAAAACAACATTAATTCAGACTGTACATTTTTTTCCTTAAGGTCGCTACAATGTCACAGTGCCTTTGCTGACCTGCACAACCTGTCTTAGCACCTGGACAGCAAACTTGGCAGAGTTGAAAAAGAATAGGTACTGGCCTGCCACTGTCAACTGTGACAATATATACCAGGTAGATCTGTTCAGCTGTTTTGAGGAGCTGAAAGTGTCAGCCCCAGGAATGTCCCATCTGGCGTTTATGCAGATTTTGGAGCAGCAAACTGACTTCTTTGGCAGGGTAACAATAAATTATACTCAGCTTTACCAATGTATGACTTCAGGTTAACAATATATTAAAGTTAGGTTACACAAAGCGTTGTAACAAAATGTATTTCCAGTACTACAACTACGTTAAAACTTCAGGTCTCTTGCTACAGTATGTGTTAGCCTCCTGCACCACTGTCCTGCCATGCCCGTTATCTGTGCCCCTGCACATTACAATATAAGTACTCGCCCTACTTTTGCGTTGGCTTTCACCTGCTTTGCTGGCAACACTATGCACTGGCCCTGCTTTAACTCAAATCCAGTCAGCCATAGTGAATTATAGCATGTTTTGTTTATAGTACTGTTGTAAGTTATTTCATATCTTTCCCATATGTATTTTTCCCTTACCAAAATGGAATGATCTGTGGGGACACTTTTCAAAAAAGCTTATTTGAGTGGACGTACTGCCGCTCTGAAATTGATCAGGTCTGCGATATACAGTACTTTGACTGCCCAGCCTGTTCCCCCGGCATACTTGCAGTGTCAGTGGACGGGAACAAGAAGCTGTATCGATTCAAAAAAGGGTATGTAAAACTATTCATAATTGATCAAATAACACCATAATCTATATAATTTAAACAATCCAAACAAGGTTAGCCTTTTCTCTGTCCAGTGTGAAAGTCTTCAAATGCAGTTGAGCTCATTTTTAGCTTAAATGTTTTTAGTTTGTAATTAAATTAATTATCAACATTGTCAAGTGTCCCACAATCAGTTAATGAGGTTGATTTGATATTTCATATGTCATATATATAATGTATTTAATGTATCCTTTCAAGGGCTGATGACAAAGGATTATTTGATGGCGTATTTATCTGCAAGGATGAGGATGTCTGACTTTGTGAACTATGTCCATACAAAGACTAAACATGTATATTTCCTGTGTATCTTCTGATCTGTGAAATAGGACTGGCCTCGAGCCATCTGACTCAAAGGCAGACTCGTTATACACTGTTCCCATAAGAACATACTGTATCATTTTGGAGAGATTGTAATCCTCTCTCTTCAAGTCCAGGGTCGTTACACCCCTCCCTCCATTCAGAATGTATCCCCACCCTTCACTGTCCCAAATTCAATACACTTTACAAGTGCTTCTTTTTGACAGCCAATCTCCCACTTCTGATCTCCATTGTAGCGAACACAGGGGGTAGCTCAGCGCCCTCAGCTAGATTTGAAAAACCTAACCACTGTCTCATTAACGCTTTAACCCCCCAAATACTTCCTTGTCTAGGGTTATGGAAAAGGGGTATGTGGAGCATCCCAGTGGACAGCAGCTAAAGAGTCGTCAAGGAAAACAAACGACAAACTTGATGAAGAGGGACTCGAAGTTGCCGTCTGCCGTCACGGAATACTTCTGAGGAGCCTCAACATGATGTGTGGAGAGATCTTTGCGTACCCACTGTTCTTGCAGAAGGAGTTGTCTGGCAGCAGGAACATAAGGTTCATGTGTACGGATGTGATCTGCAAATTCTGGCCATACCTGACCAAAGTTGCCCTTCATTGTCCAGAGCTCGCCACTCTTCTAGACATGAAGCCACTTCTTTCCGTCATGCATGCAAAGGCACATCGTTTGAAATGTGAGGTAAGTTTATCTTTATTAAACTGTTGAAAGAGAATTTCCAGCTTCAGTCCTTTACAAGGCTTCCCATTTAGATGTTTGTGATTCACATAATTGCAATATTAAGTCAATATTATTTTTGATGTCAATTAAGATTAAGTGGGGAGGACAGAATCAGGAAGGAGCTGGCAGAACTCTGGGGGAGGAAGTGGAACAAGGGAACAGCTTCTTGTCGAGGCTGCAATCTGTTCCAAGCAAATGTCCAAAGGAGGTAAACAATTTGTTTAATGTTGTTCTATTCAGCTATGTTAGCACTTATCTGGAATAAGGAGTTCTATTTGGCTTTTCTAGCAAGAACAGACATGCTAACCATCCAGGCTATTGGATGGAACAGAAGGAAGAAGAAGAACCTGGACAGAGCATTGTCCAGAATATACTTGAAGGTATATTGTGTGGATCAATACATTGCTTTTAGAAGTATTATATCTATGCATTTAATTTATTGTAAAACTATTAATTATTCAGTTTTCTTTTTGTCATAATTCTCAGACAACCACAAAAATCCAGGAGGAGACCCAGACTCTCGAAAAGTTGAAGAGTGATTTGGGTGCAGGCGATGAGACTCTGGACAACTGGACAACGGAAGTTAAGCAATGGGCTAACTCCTGGACTGTCACCTTGACGTGGTGGAGAGGCTTGCATACTCCAATGACCCTGAGAGCTAAGCCAGAGAGGGTGTATTCCACCGGCAGGTGCAATCAAGCCGGACAGGTCGGGGGTAGAAGGCAGACAAAACATTCCCTGGTCCTCCAGGTTGGGGGTTATGCGTGGGGCTCACTCACTCACCACATAACAAATAATTTGTTACAAAAACCTTTGCAGGCCCTATGTTCCTCCAGGAAGTAAGTGCAACTACTCACCGTGGGACATATATTGTTAATTTATAGATTTATTGTATTTCAGAGGAAACAGCTGAGAACATGGATACTCCCCAGGTACAACAGAGAACAATTGAAGTCCTGTTTCTCACCATCAAACAAAGGAAACAGAACCTCTACAGTCAGACAGGTTTGTTAAATTTCATGAATATTGAATTGCACACACTTACTTTCTCTTTCATTTCAAAGCCTTGCAATTTAACAAATAATGATGGATGCAAGAGATGTCACCCTCTGCGCAGAAAGATATTGGAAGAAAAGGCCAAATTGACAGCTGCCATAGAGGAGTACAACACCCTTGTACCAGAGTCAGCAATACCATCTGCAGATGAGATCCTTTCCGCAAACCTTCATGCATGGCCTTGGGAGCTTGGACAAAGTAAGTAGTATGTTTGTGTGTCACAATAACTATGTTTCTGTTTGCTATCTTTGTTTGTTCAGTTGCGCAAACACAGACAGCACCACAATTCAAGTTACAAATCCACATTGCATTATTATGAATTTACAACTGACCTACTCACAAAGAAAATAGTCTTTGACCAGGTGATGCTCCTCAGACGGCTGAAGGAGGAAGAGTTAATTGTCCTAAAGGAAGTCAAGCAGCACTGGGAAATCCTAAAGAGGGAATCTGAGAATGTGCAAGACCTTGCTTTACATATGGCACTTGACCTAAGCAGGCAAAGTAGGGGTACTTTCATGAATATGAACAATTGATGTTGGCACACTGTAATTGCTATTGTATTTAAGGAATACTTCATTGTATTTACCCTACACATTGCGATTGTTGTTGTTAGGCTGGCAATTGAATCAGTGGGAAGCTGGGAGCAGAGATATCTTCTCCATGCTTCAGAGGAGAGTCAGTAGCCTCAGATGACACCAGGACTCTGTCAAACTGATACAAAGCAAAGCTATGGGCCAAGACACCCCTCTCCTAGAAGATGACTTCATAGATTACCTCCTGGAAGAGGACCTAGATGACATCCATGACAGCATCCACTACAGCTCGAATGACGAGGAATCTATCACAGACTGAAGGTGTTTGTTTGGGTGGGCGCAGTTTGCACTGGGTGAAAAGTGATTCCATTCGTTTTGCATATGTGCTTTATCTGCCTTCCTAATGAAAAATAGTTTGAACGTACATTATATGGAAAATAAATGTATGTTTCTGCCTTGTTGACAATGTGATCAGGTGGCGCAGATTTGAGAAGGGCGCTTGACTGTCACTGCTTTTGCCCGGTTACATGACCAGGCCCAATGCACCCCTTTAAATGGCCAATCTGCATTTGCTACATCCACTTTTGGACTTATAAATGAAATGGATGTACCCATTGATTCTTGAAGAATATTATTTATAAATGCCTCGTGAACACAGTTCAACTGCCGTACCACATCAGAACCCAAAATATAAGCTTTTTCTACTCCAATGTTTGTAAATGTAAACATACACACTAGCACGTGTCAAACTCATTCCACGGAGGGCCGTGTGTCTGTGGGTTTTCGCTCCTCCCTTGTACTTGATTGATGAATTAAGGTCACTAATTACTAAGAAACTCCCCTCACCTGGTTGTCTAGGTCTTAATTTAAAGGAAAAAACTAAAACCAGCATACACTAGGCCCTCCACGGAATGAGATTGACACCACTGGACTATAGCCTCGAAACATGGTTTAAACTATTGTGACATTTCTCCAACCCCATCATTCTGCTTTTTACAGAACCATTGGCGGGGAGAACGATAGATTTTTTCACCTGGTGATTGCCGATTTAAACATTGTTAAACTGTAATGTGCTCCTGTGCTTGTGTGTGCTTATTAGTCTAGTTCAGGGTTGCCCAACCCTGTTCCTGGAGAGCTACCCTCCTGTAGGTTTTCGCTCCAACCCCAGGTGTTACTAACCTGATTCATCTTATCAACCTGCTAATTATTAGAATCAGGTGTGCTAGATTAGGGTTGGAGCAAAAACCTACAGGACGGTAGCTCTCCCGGAACAGGGTTGGGCAGTCCTGATTTAGTTAATAAATACCAAAAAAAGGTTATCCTTGGCTTCAAGTAATCATTTGCATCCTAATGGAGCAGTGGTTCACAGTACATTAGTCATGGGCTTTTAAGTCAACAATTCCTTGTTATGGAATGCTCAAATGCTTAACTAGTACTGAGTACTTTGACCAGTTACTTCTTTACTCTCATTCAAGTAGTTTCCGAGAGGGCTACTTTTCTTGTACTTGAGTACAAGAACTGACTCTCCCATCTGCTGCAGATAAAACAGGTTAGTTGAAAAATAATGTTGCCTAGAATGATTATTGTAGTATTTATTATGCTGACCCAATTATGACCCATGACATCTTTTGGGAAGATAAATGCATAGCCCTTGTGTATTAACCTGCAAACTTGGAAATGTTCCTATTAAAATGAGGGGATGAGGCATATGAATGTTCTGTGGTGTTGTCCCATCCTGAACATGCCAGTTGCAGGCAAGTGACAAGTGACATACATTTAATGTGACTATTATCAACTATTTGTATTATTAAAATGAGATGAAGAAAATGGCAGGCAGGTCTGACATAGTGGGAGAATTGTGAACAGGCACGTACAGTGGGGAGAACAAGTATTTGACACACTGCCGATTTTGCAGGTTTTCCTACTTACAAAGCATGTAGAGGTCTGTAATTTTTATCATAGGTACACTTCAACTGTGAGAGACGGAATCTAAAACAAAAATCCAGAAAATCACATTGCATGATTTTTAAGTAATTCATTTGCATTTTATTGCATGACATAAGTATTTGATCACCTACCAACCAGTAAGAATTCCGGCTCTCACAGACCTGTTAGTTTTTCTTTAAGAAGCCCTCCTGTTCTCCACTCAATACCTGTATTAACTGCACCTTTTTGAACTCGTTACCTGTATAAAAGACACCTGTCCACACACTCAATCAAACAGACTCCAACCTCTCCAAAATGGCCAAGACCAGAGAGCTGTGTAAGGACATCAGGGATAAAATTGTAGACCTGCACAAGGCTGGGATGGGCTACAGGACAATAGGCAAGCAGCTTGGTGAGAAGGCAACAACTGTTGGTGCAATTTTTAGAAAATGGAAGAAGTTCAAGATGACGGTCAATCACCCTCGGTCTGGGGCTCCATGCAAGATCTCACCTCGTGGGGCATCAATGATCATGAGGAAGGTGAGGGATCAGCCCAGAAATACACCGCAGGACCTGGTCAATGACCTGAAGAGAGCTGGGACCACAGTCTCAAAGAAAACCATTAGTAACACACTACGCCATCATGGATTAAAATCCTGCAGCGCACGCAAGGTCCCCCTGCTCAAGCCAGCGCATGTCCAGGCCCGTCTGAAGTTTGCCAATGACCATCTGGATGATCCAGAGGAGGAATGGGAGAAGGTCATGTGGTCTGATGAGACAAAAATTGAGCTTTTTGGTCTAAACTCCACTCGCCGTGTTTGGAGGAAGAAGAAGGATGAGTACAACCCCAAGAACACCATCCCAACAGTGAAGCATTGAGGTGGAAACATCATTCTTTGGGGATGCTTTTCTGCAAAGGGGACAGGACGACTGCACCGTATTGAGGGGAGGATGGATGGGGCCATGTATCGCGAGATCTTGGCCAACAACCTCCTTCCCTCAGTAAGAGCATTGAAAGATGGGTCGTGGCTGGGTCTTCCAGCATGACAACGACCCGAAACACACAGCCAGGGCAACTAAGGAGTGGCTCCGTAAGAAGCATCTCAAGACCCTGGAGTGGCCTAGCCAGTCTCCAGACCTGAACCCAATAGAACATCTTTGGAGGGAGCTGAAAGTCCGTATTGCCCAGCGACAGCCCCGAAACCTGAAGGATCTGGAGAAGGTCTGTATGGAGGAGTGGGCCAAAATCCCTGCTGCAGTGTGTGCAAACCTGGTCAAGACCTACAGGAAACGTATGATCTCTGTAATTGCAAACAAAGGTTACCAAATATGAAGTGCTGCTTTTCTGATGTATCAAATACTTATGTCATGCAATCCAGGCTCTGTTGTAGCCGGCCGCGACCGGGAGACCCATGGGGCGGCGCATAATTGGCCCAGCGTCGTCCAGGGTAGGGGAGGGAATGGCCGGCAGGGATGTAGCTCAATTGGTAGAGCATGGTGTTTGCAACGCCAGGGTTGTGGGTTCGATTCCCACGGGGGGGCCAGTATGAAAAATATAAAAAAATGTATGCACTAACTGTAAGTTGCTCTGGATAAGAGCGTCTGCTAAATGACTAAAATGTAATGCAATAAAATGCAAATTAATTACTTAAATATCATACAATGTGATTTTCTGGATTTTTGTTTTAGATTCCGTCTCTCACAGTTGAAGTGTACCTATGCTAAAAATTACAGACCTCTACATGCTTTGTAAGTAGGAAAACCTGCAAAATCGGCAGTGTATCAAATACTTGTTCTCCCCACTGTATATATCTGTGTTGCCACAGCATTTGCCATAGAGGCGAAAGAAACGCACACCTATTTAGGCGAAGTGCTGGCTAACGGAGTAAAACACTTGAAAAAGAAAAGGAAAGCCGCACACTCTAGTAGCTCAGATGCAATAATTTATTCTCCTAATAGACAAGCTGTCTTCATCAGGGTATAATGACAAACACTGCGGGTCACTAGTTTATATAGTGTCAAAGGACACATGCAGGTGTCTGTAATCATGGCCAGGTGTGGCCTAATATCATTGGTTAATTCACAGATAAACAGAACATACAAAAAACATGGATAGCATACGATCATATATACAACTTGGCTACATAGGCCCACAAACATTTACAATGAATAGCAAAATCACAATAATCACAAGAATGGCTTCAAATCAAAGTCTACGTTGAGACCGAAGGGAGCAAGGGTCTTTAAATTAAAGATCCAGGCAGCCTCTCGTTTTAACAATAAGTTGTCGAGGTCACCCCCTCTCCTAGGGAGGGTGACATGTTCGATGCCGACATAACGTAGGAACGAAATCGAGTGGTTCGCTTCCAAAAAGTGGACAGCGACTGGGTATGTCGAGTTTTTGCACCTAATGGTGCTACGAAACTCAGAGATTCGTACTTTTAATTTGCGCTTTGTTTTACCCACATAATGTTTACCACAAGGACAAGTTATAAGATAAATAACTGCCTTAGTGGAGCACATAATAACACCTTTGATTGGAATTTGTTTCCCTGTTTGGGGGTGTTTAAAGGATCTACATTTGTAAGTGCCATTGCATTGAGCGCAGCCGTTACACTTGTAGTTTCCATCCGGTAGAGGCGCAAATAGACATTGTACAGGGATGTTTAGGGGTGGTAAATCCGAGTTTACCAGTTGATCTCTGAGGTTTCTGCCCCGCGAGAATACAACCAAGGGAGTGTCCGAAAACACATTTCCAAAATATCATCAATGTACCATTTCCAAATAATAATGTTAGGCAAGAAAATATTTTTGAGAGGATTGAATAGACTGTTTCTCAATGTAACCCACATACAAATTAGCATAGTTAGGAGCCATAGGGGATCCCATAGCAGTACCCTTCGTCTGAATACAGAAATAATTTAGAAACATGAAGTAGTTGTGTGTGATGTTACTTTCATTTGAATGTCGTATACATTGTCAGATTCTATTAAATAATTGATGTAAGAGAGAAATTCTTATGTTACAGAAACCTGAAAAGTTGTGAAATACAAATGTGGGCCATTTTGTAGTTTTTGCCTAACCCTAACCGGTTTGTTCTTTATCAATATCTTTGCCAATATCATTCTAATTGATGTGTAGAATGATATGTACATGAATTAGGACATCCATAAGGCTGTACTGCATCAGCACATGCCAATTCAATGTCTGTAGTGGTGCACTTTTTGAAATTTGTTTTTCCATCATTACTATTTAAGCTTGAAATGTGTGATTCTTAATATTTAATTAGGTCCCCTTACTAAACCTTCATGTCAAATAAGGTTTGGAATATGTTAATCTATTCTTGATTAAAAAATCATCAAAGTTTTGGAAAGAGTCGACTGTGGGTGGCGC